TATATACATTTTATAAATTAATTCATTGCTGGTTATCACACTTTGGTTGGACAAGTAGACCTCACATTTTAGTGTATACTCACTTTCCTTTAAAGAAGTCATAAAGCACTTATATTTCATATCTTGTGTTTTTTGCACATGACCTTACTTCCTCCAGTTGTTTAATCCTCTTACTACATTTTTCTCAGTGTCTCCTCTTGACTTGGTTGAATTAGACTGTCTTTTTTTCTCCTGACTTTTTTGGTGTTTTGCTTTGAAAGTCTGTTTTACATGGTACCCCTCCCATTGTTTACATGTGTGTGGGCAGAGGAGCCAGACTATGGGGTGGCTGCTGTCAGACAGAAAATGAATCTTCACTTACCTATTCATCTGGGAGAGCTAATGAGTCTTTTCTCTGGGCTGGCCTTCTTTGGTATTTCAGATATGGGCTAAGAAAGGAAAATAAAATATTGATGAGACATACAGTGGCATGATTATTGCCTTAGAATGGAGTGACCACTCAAGTCAGGTTGTAATATATCTGTAAAACACAGGAGTTAAATAAGAATGTGAATTACTTTCCTGTGTTACAGACTTTAACTTTCCTCCTTTTTTCTCATTCAGCTATAGGGTAAGACAGCATCCATTTTCAGTCCTCTTCCTGCAAGACTTCAGAAAAAGGGTTAAAAATTGAGTGAGATCCTCACATACTTTGCAGCCCCTTTAACAAGCCAGAAGCACACAAAGACCCAAAGACTATGCCAGTAGTGCAGGGGCGGGACCCAAATGCCCACCACCTTTCCCAAAACACTGTTTGTCGTGGGCAGAGAAACACCTCATAGACCTGGGCATTCAGCAAGCATTTTTTGGTAATGTAGGCAGAGGGAAGTCTAGAAAGGATCAGTGGAAAGTAGTTTTTGTAGCTCTTTCATCAGAGCAACCATGAATGGCTGAGGCATTGTTGGATAGGAAGTTAAACTTCTCTGAGGTTTGGGTTGAAATGCAAGATATTTTCACCTATTGCAAGATAGACAACACTTTTTTCTGGCCACCATTGGTCTGGAGCTATTTTAAACAAAAGCAGGAAAAATCCATTCCTAGAATAACTGTTCATATGGAGAACTCTAAAGGCAAAGCAAATGGCAAAAATATCTTCCTTAATTTCAGAAATAGCTTTCTTTGTGTCAGATACCTCCCCTTGCCATTTTAGTGGGAATCACAAGGTACCCTCCATATGGACAGGCACAAACCTGAGCTGTAGAATTTGATGGCCTTATCCCTACTATTACACAACCTTCAAGTGTAAATTTTCTTCTCAAACTGAGAATTCAACTCATTAAATCACTCAGTGCTAAGATAGGCAAAGGATGGGAAACGAAAAGCACTTTAACATCTTTATTCTGCATACACTTAAAAAAAAAAAGATAAAGGCTATGCAGAACAGTGGTAGGTTCCCCATGAACTTCCTATCAGACTCCCTGCATTCTCATATGTGACCAAACTCTTTTTTTAATAAACCCGCTATTATAGCTCAGAGTCTCTGCCAAGTGTTTACAGCATTGCCCTAAGTAACAAGTCTGAGCCAAGGGACTTAATTAAATCTAACCTGCTTTTTCAGTTATAGAATAGTCCTTTAACATCAAAAGGCAAGTGGACTTTGTTAATAAAATCCAAAATCACTTTTTGTTTAAGAAAAGTTCTTTATTCCTCACTGCATACAATCAGTTACTTCTTAGAAGGCATATAGTATTTTCACAGATAATTTCCACAAGCCTTTACAGAGTTTACAAAAACGTACATAACATTTGGTGTTCTAGCTTTATATGAGAATCTCAGATTTCATACTTTCTTGCTGAGCTGATTCACATACCCCAGGTTGCAGGGAAGAACTTAAAAGCTTAAAGAAAAATATTTATACAGGATGCCCTGTTGATCTTACCATTTTTAATGTTTAGAGGCTTACCTTTCCGTTTTGGAGCATTTGATTCTGTGTATATTGCAACGTTTTTTACAATTATCTCAAGGGAGGTTCTACATATGAGGGCTTCTGCTAAACACAGAGCAGATTTGGGGAAGGTGCAGGACAACCATCTGAAACTGTCATATGGACAAATGCAGGTGACACAGCTGCACACCTACTAAGTGAAACCGGATCAGGGTTTTCATTCACAGCACCTCATGGCCCATAGTGTTAATGTAAGATGAGGTCGATGCAGCTTATATTGATGTGCTGGGCTAGAACCTGGAGTGATCAGATCTGGCAGATGGGCTGAACCCCAGGCTGAAGTCCTGCCTGACTAGCTGGCAAGAGAAGGGCAGGCTGCTATGCTGATGATTTTCCCTCCATTGGCACAGGAAGAACTGGCAGCCCCAGCTGTGCTGCTGCTTGACCACACTAGCCTGTGCTACTGTGCCTTCAGAGTACAGGGCAACACAAAGCAGGTGTTTTCCCAGATAAGAATGGTGTAATGCCTTTCTCCTGTCTCTAAGCGGAAGTTTTAACTTCCCTGTACCCACAGTGTTAATCATTTACATCTTAAACCCAGCCTGACTCTGAGACCCAGACTGTGCAGGTCAAGTGCAGCTACCTGGCGGGCCTGGAGATGTCAGTGACGAGGGCTGCACCCTCAACCACTATGAGAGTTGAGCTGGGCAGCTCTTGCATGAGGATAAGGAGGAAGGCGAAGGCAATAATTAGCTCTAGGGAAATCTGCAAGAGCAATGAATCACAGCTGTAACATCACAGGTCAGGTGGGGCTGGCAGCAGGAGTTACAGCAGAAGGAGTGTGGCCAGCAGGATCAGGGCAGTAACTGCCCTCGTATATTTGGCACTGGTGCAGCTGCACCTTGAATCCTTTTCAGTTTGGGGGCCTTCATTGCAAGGAAGACATTGAGGTGATTGTGGAGCTGGAGCCCATCCAAAGGCAAAGAAGATGGTGATAGGTTTGGAGCACAAGTCTTGTGAGGAGATGCTGAGGGAACTGGAGGATTAGCCTGCAGAAAAGGAAAGATCTTATTGCTCTCTACAACCACCAGAAATGAGATTGTAGCCAGGTGAGGGTCGTTCTCTTCTCACAAGTAACAGGGCAAGAGGAAATAGTTCCGAGTTATGCCAGGAGCCATTTAGATTGGATATTAGGAAAAGTTTTTTACTGAAAGAGTTGTCAAGCATTGGAAAAGGCTGTCCAGGGAACTGGTGGAATTACCATCCTTGGAGGTATTTAACAGATTTGCAGATGTGCCACTTAGGGACGTGTCTTCATGGTGGCCCTGACAGTGTTAGTTTGATGGCTGAGCTTGATGATCTTAAAGGTCTTTTCCATCCCAAACAATTCCAGATCTGTGAGTCTATGACTCTGCAGCTGAAAGTTGCAGGTTGGTTTGCTTCTCCTCATTCATTTCATACTGCCTCCCTTTGTCCAGCTGGTGTGCTAACCACGGCAAATGGCCACTCAGAGGCCTCACAAGCAGGCCAGCACAGAATGGAAAAGGCTATTTAGGGAGCTCATGACACCCCAGCTCCTGGAAGATGTTCACACACAATGGGACAAAGCCTCAGCTGTTCCCATCCAGTACTGGGACTCGTCCTGCTTCGAGCTGCAGCATGGATTAGCGATCTCCAGCCACCTCTGGCAGACAGTATTTTAACTGATGCTGTGAAGTCATTCACCTGTTTTTCACACAGCCACACTTGCTCAGTTTCCAGCTTCACCTCTAAATGTGCTACTGATGCATTCAATCCACTTGGATAATGGAAAAAAAACAGGTCCTCCCAGTGTAAAATGAAGGCAAAGACAGGCATTGTGATTTGTGCAAATCTATCTGAGTTCAGACGCTTTTTCTTTTCCACAAGCTGTTTTTTTCTCCTCCTTACATTCAGGTTTATAAAGTCTTTGTCATGACATTCATGTGTCCTTACCCCTGTGCAAAACTTTCCAGTTTTGATTTGTAAACAGCTGAAGACTGCCTCAGACTCATGGAGACTGCATTTTGGGATAGCTGACTGCTGCATGTTATAGTGATGACTTTACCTTCTTACCATCTCCATCTGATTTTGAGTTGCAGAGGCAAAATCACCAGAGCAGGCTGTGGGAAGAGCGCTGCATTCCTGAGCTGGGTGAAACAACTGGTTGTGCGGAGTGTTTGCTTGGGATCACATAAACACTTCAGACTTGAAAGAGCCACAATTTCTAGATCCCAGTTTGTTTATATTTAACTTTGTAGATTTTGCTTACATGTTTTGCTAGTCTAACTCTTGATGCTATACTGGTCTGACTGGATCATGTCAAAATTTGCTGTTTACCAGCACGAAGGAACAAATAGTGGTATATTGCAATGAAACGCCTCATATGCAAATGAAATGATCACGCTGTTCATCAGGTTTGTAGAGAACAGATCTCAGTGGCACCCAAGAGCCTTGGTAACAATTACTGTCCAAGCTGGATGAAAAACGGTGTACGTGAAGACAGTCAATGGGAGAATTCACCTCAAAGGAAATTTGAGAGCCTGAACAGACTACCAAGAGCAAGCTAAATCAGTATGCAACTGTTAGTGTTTTTAATGTATAGTGGCACTGATTTCATCCCCACGAGCAAAACCTCTCTGCTGCTCATACTTTTGTTCTTCCATTGCTTTTGTGGGTGCATGACACTTGTTCTAGGGACGACCCTCCTCCGGTCCCCAGGTACGGCAGGAGAGAACGGGCACTCACTGCGCCCGAGGGGGCGGCCGGAGGGAACCAGGACGGGGCAGGAGAGGGCAGCAGCCACGGCCGGACCCCCGCCCGCTCCGCTCCGCCCCGCGCCAGCGCCCGGCCACCCCGGCCGAGGAGGGAGGGAAGGAGGGAGGCGGTGAGCGGAGCGGAGGGAGGGAGGGACGCGGGGCGGGGCGCAGCCGGCGCGGAGAGGGGCCGCCCCCCGCCCGCTCCGCTCCGCTCCGCGCCCGCCGTCGGTGCCGGTGAAGGCGGCGGTGGCGGTGGCGGTGCCGCCGGCTCCCGCCGCCCCCCCCCGGCTCCGGCCCCGCGTCCCTATGGCCGGGCAGGAGTGGGACTGGTTCCAGCGCGAGGAGCTCATCGGGCACATCAGCGACATCCGAGTGCAGAACCTCCAAGGTAAACCAACACCCCCGCACAAACCCCTCCCTCCGCCCCCGCGCCGCCCCGCTCCCCTGCCCCTGCTGCTCCCCCGCCGCCCGCCCCGGCCGCCGTGCGCGGGCTCCCGCAGCTCCGCGGAGCGGGGGCGGCGCGGCTGTGGGGCCGGCGGAGGAAGAGGAGGAGGAGGAGTAGGAGGAAGGGGTCAGTGGGGCCAAAGTTTCCCCCGAGCTCTATGCCCGCCCGTCCGCCCGCGGAGAGCCCCGGGGCAGGGACGGGGCGCGGGGGCTCCGTGGCGCTGGGGATGCTGCGGGGGTGGCACTGTCGTGTCCCCTCGGGCGGTGCTGCCACCCACGGCCTCCCCCGAGGACCGTCGGGGCGGGGGTTGCGGGCTCCGGCCGGGCTCCGGGGAGCTCTGGGTGGCCGGGCGGTGGCGGGGCTCGCCCTGCCGTGGGGTCCCGGGGCCCGGCCGGGGCGCCCCAGCCGCAGCAGAGCCCGCCCGCCGCTCCCCGGCCGACAGCTGGGGTCACTCGGCCGCGACCAGGGCACGGCTCCGGGGCAGCACCTCCGAGATTTGAGCCGGAGCCGGTGGCTATCGAGGACTCGTTTTAATGTGTCTTATAATAAACTGCTGTTGAATAAACACGGACAGGGATTTTGGATAAATCATCTACGAGATGCGCTCCTATTTTGCCACAGGCTGTGCAGGCGGAAGGAGTGCAAATCTCTGAGTGTAGATCGGTATCAGTGTGGTAGTAGTAGTTGTAGTTCCTCCAAAGTTGTGTTTGCCCCTCACCAGGTAACTCCTCGTGATTGGAAGGGACAGCAAGATCTGATGGAAGAGGGAAAAAACAGCAGTGGTTTATGGAAGAACAACTGTTTAATGTAACATACTGATCTTAATAGCCCTCATAACACTGCGATATATCTTCATGTTCCATAAAAATAATAGACTCGAATCAGAGGTCATTATCTCTTCCTGTCTGTGCATAATTATATTAAGGCGCTGTTTACTGGCAGTGCAGTGCAATTGCTGGAAATTAGTTTCGGTTTGGATTGATTATAGAAGATTTATAATTTATCAGAAAAGAGAATCAAATTAGCCATTCTTTCAGCTCTGGTGAATTAATGCAGTTAGCTGCTGATGGGGTCATTCCACATCATTTTGACCTGCATCATCCTAACCTCTGAAATTCAGATTTTGAGTATGGTCAGGGCTGTTGATTCCAGGTTGCATTCCCCTTGGGTTTTGACAATCTCATTACATTGTAGTTGTATGTTTCTGGCTTCTGTCTCAGTCTCTTTCAATTCTGTGTTAACATGGCTGGCCTGCCTCTGATCTCTGTTGCTCAAAACTATAGCCATTAAACCAAGTTTAATCCTTAATTCATAGACATTTTTGAGAAGGAATACAAAAGTAATCTGTTCTTAGAATGAGAAGCAAAGCCAAAAACATATTACTCTGTCATTTGTGAGCAAATGGTTAATTTCCCTTTCTGGAACTTAAAGTGCATGTGTACAGATGCACACAGCCTTATCTAAAATTCCTGTAGTTGTGTAGGAGAATGTCATCCTACAAGCAAATTCCTTTGAATGACATTATATTCATGAAAAAAACTCCTGTTCTCTTCTTATCATCCAAGAGAAATTTTGAAACATATTGATTATCACCTTGCTTGCACTACTAAATAGGTTTTTAAGAAGTTTCATGCCTCACCTGAGCTCTTATAGGGCAGAAAAAACATTTGTTCTGAGGTGCTGTTCCAAAGCAAGTGATAATAGCTGTCACAAAAGATATGATTTGTAACACATAATTCTCGCATTATCTTCTAGAGATGAAAAGCATTCTACAGATGGCGAGTCTGATACTTGTGAGAGTGTGATTTTTGTTGCTTGGGAGCTTGGTGGCAGAGCATGATGCTTCTCTTCAGAACAGTTTCTTGTAAAATGGCAGCATATGTTCTATGCTCATATGTAGTAATTAAACTTGCTTCTGCTTTATAATTCAAAATTCATTCTCTCCTCTCAAAACAATGCAATCTGAATCATTGTTAGTATCATTGTCTATCAGTTGCAGAACCAATAACAGCTTTGATGTATTAGAAAGTCAAGAGTTTAGGATGAAATTCTGGGTGAGAACAGTACAGCATTTCCATCAGAACCATCAGAGCCACATGAAGGACCTCATGCCTGAAGGTCTCTGTCTGCTGCCACATCTCCAGCTCCTGCAGCGCTCTCCTGTGACACCAGCTGTGTTCAGAGTATGAAGTGGACAGTTTGTCTTATTCCAGAAGGCTCCCATTCAGTGGGGCATTTTCCATATGTGGAGGTGCCTCCTGTTCTCTGGGGAACGCATCATGTTAATTTAGACTCAAGAAGGAGTAAGGAGAGGATGGGAGGTGGCAGCTAATCATTTGCAGATATGAACAACACATGCAAACACGGGCATGTCTGTGTGAAGAGGTGGAGACTTCTGGGCTGATGCAGAGAGCCAGATAAATGTGAGGTGTGCAAGGCAGATAGAGGCACTACAGCCATGCTGTGTCCAAGCCATCCTGCCAGCTTGGAAGAGCCCAAGTGCTGATGATGGCTGTGACAAAGGGTCCCGAGCAGCCTAGCTGGTATTAAGGTTTCTGCAGGAATCATACAGACATCTGCTGTTGTAGTTTTCCATACCCTTTCTGCCTCCGTTTTTAAAAGTGAAAATTGTTTATTTCTCTTGAAAATGTCTTCGTTATGTCTTAGCTAAACTATAAAGCATTGCTGACATAGAATTCTATTTGAAGATAGCATATATTGTTTCAGTGTGTTGCATCTTCCTTCTCTAGTTTGGTTGGGCCTCCACATTTGGTTGTTCCACATCCAGGAAGAATCCAAGATGCCAGTTACTGGGAAGTGTCTGCTCTCATGAAGATGCTTTTGCAGTGGTATGACCCCACCAAATTGAGAAGATGTTGTAGGTGCATGTGCTGGCTGCAGAAGTAGCTTCAGGAGCTGTATGTTCTGTCATGTTATTAATGGGTATTACTTACGGCCTCTGTGGGTTTTTCAGCTTTTTCATAGGGAGACTAAAACTGACAGCAAGGAGTGAAATTTACTAAATGGGCTGGAGTTGAGGGTGGAAAAAAAGAATGATTTAAAAAATGGAATTATATCATTATATGCCTAAATATCAAGATGGACTTCTATTTTCCCTTTCCATCAAGAGATTTTCTATTTTACTTTTTGAAGGAAGCGACATTTCAAAACTGTCAGCTAAGTGATGCTAAAAGCCAGGCATAATTCTTCCATTCTCAACAGAGGTGATTTCAGAGAACAGAAGCAGAAGTGACAATCTAATGGAGAAGAGGAGAGAGGAATATAAAGAAGGAATAAACACTAGGTGTAGTGATACACAAACCAAGTTCCTCCCTCCTGGTCTGTTTGGTTTCTAAATGCATTTAATAAACTGATACCCTCATGCTCTTTGTTCTGTTTATATATTCTCCATAGTGAATTTCTGCACATATTGAGAGAGAAAAATGGAAGGCCTGCACAGAATGTAGGAGCACATCGTCAAGCAAGAGAATGCTCAATAATTAATTTCCTGCCAGGAGATTTTTTTTGCCTCTCTCTTTCTTTCATTACAACACCATTGGGAACATCTTGTTACAATACAAGAATATTTTAAAATCTTCCTTACTGGAAGCTTGATTTAGGATCATCAAAAATATACTTTCTTATGTGGTGAATTGCACTTGCTGGAAAGAAGCAACATCTTCATCCTCTTTTAGATGATGGGTTGGTTGTGTGCTTTGCTATAGTCTAAATGTGAGTTGAATAGTACATATCTTTTCTTGCATTCCTTGGAATGAAATATGTAGAGATAAATAATTGTGCAGTCAGGTGTATTGTTCATCTCTGGCAAACAAGTGCTGCTCCCACAACTTTAAAATAATTCTGGTTTGAATGTTCATTTTGTATATTTCTAATAGAGTAGATGGGCTGGGATGATAGAACTCTGCCATTCTGCTATCAGAGGACAAGTCAAGGTCCTGCTGCTCCTTATTTCACTACTCACTTAGGGTTTGATTCAGAAGTCACAGAAACCTGTACATGTTTATTCCTTGGTTTCTGTAGATATTTAAATATTTGCTTGAGACTCATTCTTGCTCTGCTGAGGGGTACCTGGCCTTCAGAAGTATTTGGAGGCTACAGAGGAGTGTATTGTAGCATTGACAGAAATAATGGTGAAAAAGAAGGGTGACAGATTGGGAGAAATAATCTCAATATCAGCCCCATTGGTTCTCCAATTGGTTCTCCAGTTTATATCTCTGGGTGTATTACTTAGCCATAAAGTCCCAGCACTCTCTGATTTTTGACTTCCTGTTTGGATCCTTGAGATCTAGACTTTGTAAGCTTTGGACAGTAGTAACTATAATTGTCACTAACATGAATCTCAACATCTTACAAGGTAAAAGATTCTGAAGCCTCTGTCTCAAGAAGTAATACAAATGCTTAGCTCATAGAAGTTAACTCTGGCAGTGGGAGTATCTATATATCTTTACTTTGTGGGAGCTTAAGCATCACTGATGGATGACCAAAGGCAGGTGCCACAGTCAGTCTTGAAAATGTTTCTCTCTGTACTTTTCTTTTTATTTATGTATGAGGCCTATTTTTAATGACTTCTGCACTTAGCTACAGAGAGTAATAATTTTCCTTTAATTACAAGATACATCAGCATCCAACTTGTTTACTATAGTTTGACGTGCTTTTCAAATACTTGGAAATTTCACAAGTAGAAGGAAACCTTTTTAATATATCCATTAATTCTGACAAAAGTAAGGTGCTGTAACTGTTCATTACTTTAACTCTTCTATAACTTGTCACCATACTCAGCAGGATTTCATTCTGCCTGTAGGCATGTTCATTTAGTGGAGTTCTTTGTTGATTCAGGTGATGTTTGGAAAGATTAAATTGTCTGGAGAATCTTAGGCAAAGTGCTGTACAGCTACAAAGTGATCCTATTCTGTATAAAAGTG